AACGGAGGGAGTATAGTTTTTAAGATACAAATTCGAATTTAATTAATTGGTAAAGTTTTTTAAGAATACTCTTTAATCAGTATATAAAGATTTTAAAATGGATGTTTAAATTATGTTTGGTAATATGTGTATATTTTGTCTGACAATGAGTATAACGGAATCAAATACATCAAAAAGAAAAAATAACTGAGAAAAATTATGGTGATGACACTTAAGCAAAATTTATTTTCAATGTTTCTCCTCTAATATATAGAAGATGATTATAGTTATAAGGAGCTCTGTAATGGACTGTAATAATAAACTTTCTATGCTATATTCAAGAATCCAACAGTTACTCCATTACAGTTATAAGAGTATGTGCAATGGTGTTTCTTAAGTCAAGTTCTTAAGACAAAAAAGATTAAATTTAAATAAAAATTGGTTGTATTACTAAGAACTGATACTTAATTAAGAGATTTAAGAACTGGTTTTTAGGTACCACGTGTCACCATTTGATTCGTGGATGATTTTTTTTACAAAGAAAAAAAATAAACACGCGTACAATGCATTTATTAAAGGGTTATTTGCAACAATAACCTAAAAAGAACTATAATTTATAATTAGTCAAAATATTAGAGAGAGATAGGAAGATAAAGAGGGAGAAAAAATGGAAAAATGGCTAGCTTGTGTATTATTATGCCAATTTTCCTTTATTAAATGCAATATATTTTTGTTAGTTATTTATGCCAATTTTCCTTTATTAAATGCAATATATTTTTTATTTTATTCAATATACTATGTTTATAAATTTTGAGAAAATAAATTATACTTAATAAAATATTCTCATATTTTTTTATTATTATTAAGAATTCCTAATGAAGTTCTACCATTGGAAACAAAAATAAAATAAAATCTATTGAGGAAGTTCTTAGAGCATGTTGATGCAAAATATATAATAAACAAATTGATTAGAACTTATGAGAGGTTCCACTATTGAACATTGTCTAAGGAGCTCTGTAATGGAATAGTTTAGAGTAAGCTTCTTGTTCGATAGACTGTCAACGGGATATTTCGAGTGGTGTTTGGTATATGTGGAATACAAAGAAAAGGTTCGAAAGACTTTAAAAGTCATTGTTTTGGTTAAAATCAAATGTCACTTTAAGAATATGTATGTATTACATTACATACTATATGTATGCATTTGTATTCATATAATCATTTCCAACGAAAATATATATGGAAACCACGGGCGGAGCTACATTAAGCAGAAGGGGGGCAGCTGCCCCAATGAATTTTATGAATTTTGTTTTTAGCACTAAATTATGAGAATAATTTGGCAATTTTGGTTACATCTTTCATTGTTGCCCTCGGTACCCAGGTTTGATTTGCCATGTGCCCCCCGTAAGTTTCATATGGTATTGACATTTTTTTCTTGTCTTTTAACGTAACTTTAACCAATTTTATGAAATATTTATTCTATCTACCTCTAAATTTTGTTTT